TTTTTTTTTTTTTTTTTTTTTTTTTTTTTTTTTTTTTTTTTTGGAAAACTCCACCACGAGTACTCTTACAGTGGGCTTGAACAATGATACACGCATAGGGCCATACGATTTGGTGTTTCATAAAGCGGAAGGAAAAAAAAAAAAAAAAATAGGCAGAATTGCAAAGGGAATTTTTTTTTATTTTTTAATTTTATCTTTATTGGCTATTCACAAATATTTGTTTCCTTTTTTGTGAAGAGCATTTCCTCCTTTTTGCTTCTTACAAAACGGGTTGAATTCTCATAACGTGCTTAGCGTTACATATAAGGGAAAAACCCTTTAGCGCGCATCACTCCTGGGTAGCACGCATAAACATGTGTGTTATATTCATACCCAAGAGTGTGCATGTTAGATGACTTTCAGTTATACGTTTGTGCGTGTGTTTTTTTTTTTTCTCTCTCTCTCTTTGAAGAATTGGAACGTATATCCATGTTCAGACAGGACAGTTGTATTTCTGCTTATCGAAGATGCCATCAGTAGAAACACCTTTCATTGTCTAAGTTCACTTTTGGTGAATGGACCTTTCTCTCATTTGCCCTACGTGCACATCCCAGTTACGGTTAAGTGAAAAAATGTATTTTTTTTTTTTTTAACGACCAAGAAAACCATTTCTCTGCAGGGGGATTTCGTTTTTTTTTTTCTTTCCCGGCGCAGTTGGTGTGTGTGTGTGTGCAGCGCGCTGCCATGCCGTTGTGACAACGTTGTTCAGGCAAAGTGGTTCCCATTGGGAAGGTGTATCATTGTATGCGCGCACTTCCGTGCTCACATGCCCCTGTGGGGACGTACTCCTTTAAAACGACGTTCAATTATTCAAGTAGCGCAAAAGTTGCTTTAACAAGTTCTAAAAATAAAATAGAGGGGATACCTATTTGGGAACCCTGAACTGCATTTGCTCTATTCTACTTAAAGGGGGTACATATGATAACAGGGATGCGATTTTGAAGGGAACCAAATGGGGAAACACAACAGAGGAAAATAAATTAAAAGGTGATACATTGTTTCCCCGGAGAACCACTCCAAACAACACATTTTTAATGACTTCCCTTTTTTTTTTTATACCAATGCCTGTGATGTCATAGGAAAATAAAAATAAAAAAAAAAAAAAACTCGAATGACACAAATTACGTTTTAAACGAAAAGGTGGTCAAATTTGTATTTCACTGCATGTGTTCGTAGAGAATAAATTTCCAACGTTTTCTGTCACCACAAAAGGACTAGGGTTATTTTTTAAAAAAAAAAAGGGAAATAAATAAAAATACTTTATCAATTATACAAGCAAATGTTAACTGAAAATTATCCAACATTTTATACACCCAATTTTTTGTTTTGTTTCCCTTTTGTCGTTTAAAACACCATTTTGTGAGTAAACACATAGTTACACCATTTATGTTTGCATGCCTTGCAAAGAGCAACTGTAAAGTTGTATAGCCCTGCACATACTCATACAAACGAACGTGACGGCAAAGTGGGGACAAAATGAGGGCAGGAAATTTGTTCCTCTACATGCCTGTAGTTCTCTCTGCACATTGCATTTCTGTACTGTTAACCCTAGAAATTAATAAGAGTTGCAAATACAACTTTATGAGTAGTACCCCCAATGCGCAACACACAACTAAAGTGCGCGCCACGGGAGGAAGAAGTGAGAGATGAGCGGAAACTGTTTAAGGGCGCGACGTGATGGGTGTGTCCACATGTGTATATGCCCCTCTTAAGTGTCTTTCACGTCCACAAAACGGAGAACAAACTTATTCACCAAAGTGGCGCGTTGAGCGTAGCATCAATATCAATCTATTCCCAAATGTGCATGAAAAAAGAATTAACATGTTATTTATTTTTTTTTTTTTTTTTGCACTAGGTGGAGGTAAGATAATAGGACATGGTCATTCTTACCCCTCAAACGAGATTTACAATGATGAATTAAAAAAATATATTGATACAAACGACGAAGTAATATTTCCCTGTCTACTTCGTTTCTTGCATTTATGAATATATGTATATACAGATCTGCTTTAAAAATTACCCCCCTCCTCCTCATGTGTTTCAACATTTATGGCTTAAATGAGCCCCCATTAATAGTCTGTACACACGCGCTAACATGCGCACTCTTATACTCATGGGCACCTTTTTAGTGGATTACAACCCGAACAGGAATTAAAAAAAGGAGGATTCTAAAACGAAATGAAAATATATCCATGCTGCAGATAGAAAGCGCTAATCAGGCTCTTAAAAGCTGCTCGCTGAACCCGTTAAGTGTAGACATGGTAAGGCGCTACGTCGGATGTACTTTTCTCGTGAGCGCGGCGCACGGGGGTATTCTCCACATTATATATGACATCTTTACAATTGAATATAGTATAATGTAAGTTAATTTAATTCTGTTCATTTTATTGTTTTGTTTTATTTTTTTTCTTATCTTGCCGCCATTTCGTTGTAGATCCATTTAAGCTTTCCCTGTAGCGACATGGAAGTGATGCATTTTTTAAATGTTGGTGCATGTGTTACCTACTCTAGCTGATACACACATGTGCACACATTTTTATTTTTTTATCCACCTGCGCCCGTGCTCCCGTTTGAGTGTCTATTTCGGTAACTTGTACACTGAATATGCTCTGCTAAAGGGAGAGCGCCGCGTGTTGACGCCCCATCAATACGTTGCTCGATTTGTTCGGCTTTACACGAGTATATTTCATTTTAGCAATAAAGCAAATGAAAACTTCCTCCAAATTAGGAACTTTGCTAACATGTTGCATGTGTACTATTCGCAGATCATCAACGCGTCATCCACACCTCATAATTTGTTCGGTGACGCAAATAACATTAGTAACAAGCTTGGGTGCAAAAACAGCGTTAACATGGACTTAACGGCGGCATGCGCAGGATTCATCTTCGCCTTTGCTACGGGTTCTTTTTTATGAGTGAAAAAAGGGAGTGCACTTTTCAACATGATAAGTTTTTTTTTTTTT